ATTAAAGGAGCTAAGTACTCAGGAACTTTCGCGCGAATTCTATCATGTGGAACTAAAACAAATCCTAAATATGTTCTACTAAATATGCATTACTTAACTTTGTTGAAGGAGAAACGGCAGTGGACGCATACAAACAAAATAAGAAAATTATTCGTTTTTAAAGGAATGTTACAAAGATTATTTCTTTCATCTGAAATTTGCATGTGTTTCATCTGCTATAAATACACGCAGAAAAGACTCGACAGCTAAGCATTTTTCCACATAAACAGAAAAGACAATAGACAGCAGTTAGAGCAGAAATGCGTCAGAGCTAATGTCTCTTTAGCAATGCATATTAAACAAGGTAAACATAACGCATTTAACAGTTTCAGTAATTTAGGAACGCAGCGCATGTGTTTTGTAAGCAGATGTCCTCTCCGGGGAGATCTGTCAAGCAAGCTCGAAATTCCATCGTATGCAAATCGCATCATTAACGACCACTGGCGCGAAGAGGCTATTATTACCTTTGTTGATGATTGCCGACTCTCGGCGATAGCTCTCCATGACAAGCCGCTTTGGCGAAAACCTCTTTGTAACCAAATGGCGATAAGAAAATCACTTCGCCTAGAAATGCTAGATCTGTGGGTTTCAATATTTTCTCATGCGCGAAGCAAAATGCATAAAATATGAACCGATACACGGTTGTTCTGTTCCTTAATTTTAAAATCCAGCTCCTCTCGCTGGATTTCGTTCTGTTTTAAAATCGACTGTAGTTTCTTGAAGTATCACTGAATCAGCTTATTTATTGAGGCTAAATGCTAATTGTGATAATTTATCGTATCTAAGCACTAACAGCTATTGTCTTACGAGAGGTGAATCAATCCATGAAAGCATCCTTCTCTGCTTCTCTTTAGCTACTGCTCTGTATTTCCTGTTAGAAATGAAGAAAACGCATTAATCTATTCAATCAGCGTGTTCCGTTGTCTGGAATAGAACCTGGGATGAATTATCAGTGCCCACTGGTTTTAGCATATGCCATTATTAAAATTATATCGTGCTCGAACAGATGATACAGAATGTGCTGTTATAAAGAAAAATATAAAGGTTTTAATGGCAAATCGAATTGGTTGTAATTCTGTCAAAAAATAGACTTCAGTCAGAGGAATCGGATTTCCTTCAGAAAAGACATTTTCTTCTTTCGAAAAATCCTGAAAGGCCGTAGCATTGTGAATGAGAAATTGGTTTTTCTGACAGCCCATTCGCCTCTTTCCCTTATTCAAAATAGCGTCGGATTGTTCAATGCTTTGTCACAAGAGAGAAACATAATAAAGAATATCTTCCTTCTGTAACAATCTAACAAGCTAGTATAAAATCTGTAATCGCTTCTCTTATTCTAATAAACTAATGTTTGAAAAACTACAAAAAAATATTATACTTATTCCTCTGTAGTTGAAACACATTGATACTATTATAATATATGAGCAGTTTTAACGTACATATTTGACATTATCATGCTATTAGACAATTTAAGACATACAAATTTCAGCACTAGGGGGAAAAAAAAAAGCCCTGATAGGGATCCAGAACACTGTTCCGCATTTTATTGCATTTAAACAAGTCTATATTGTGGATGTAAAAAAATAGTTGTTATTAAAATAATATTAAATTGCTGGCAATGTTAAAAATGCAGGCTCGAGAGCCACGTATGGCTCTCGCACGATTGATGTATAGAATTTGATTTTTGAAAAAGATAAGTTTTTCTCTTGTCGATTGTATGTTACTGTTTTTTTTTTTTTTTTTTTTTTTTTTTTTTTTTTTTTGTTCAATAAAATTTTTATGCTGTGTTTTGTTTTCAACCTGATGTCACAACCCAGGGTTTGCATAGCGGTTTCGGCCACTACACCACAGCAGTAAATATTAAAAGTTGGTGGCAGCTTTTAGGGATTGTTCCTGAGAGTAAATTTAGGAACGGACTTTTTCGCCTGTGAACATTGAGTTTTATGTGAACAGTCAAGACTTTCTTCTCTTCAAGAACGATCTAATTTTGCGATTTTGCGTGCAAGGACAGTTCGCGTGGTGAAGCCTCTTCAGTGACAAGTGACAGTGTGTCAGAAGGGAACGCCGGAGGAAGAGTGATTTAGTGCCGCAAAATAGTGAAATTTCCCGAAAGAATATCCAAGTAGTGCCAGGAGAGTCAATCGAAGGCGTCTTCAAAATTGGTGAGTACCATTTTTGTGATTTTGGAGAAGTTATGCCAGTTATTTGAGACTAGGTTTATTTTGGATATAGTTCAGTTTTTGGGGATCAAAAGTTGTCTGGTGGTTATTGAAAGTTAAGCTTGTGGTTACTGTTGATAATTGAAATTAAATTGTTTGTTCTATTGTTTTAGTAACTGTTTAAATTGTATGAAGTATTGTAACGGTATGCTTTAGAAAAATTTAGTTTTTAAATTAGTCCAGATTTAGAGGACAATATTTATATAGTTGATATAGAGCAGGAAAAGGTTGCCTCTTAATTAGCATTTTTTTATATACGCTTTGTATGTAGGCATAGGTATTATCTTTAAGTGTTGTAAGGCAATCTGTGTTCAGAATTATTAGGGAATTATTCAGTTTTGGAGAGATAGACCTGTTGTTGTTTTTGTGTTACTGTATTTCGGGGTAGGTTATTTTTCTTTAATTTTCCATAATGGGTGAGTTTATGAGGAAATTTACTAAAGCTCTGCTATTGGAGTTAGCGGAGGAGTTTGAAACAAATGTGTCTCAGGAGAATAGAGTAAGAGAAATTAGGCAGGCTATTCTAAATGCCGAGGACTATGAAGAAGAAGCTGCGAAAGAATACGCGGCAAGAATTTGGGCTGCGGCTGAGCAGAGAAAAGCAGAAGAAATAGCCGAACAAGAGAGAGCAGAAGAGAACGTGAACAAGAGAGAGCAGAGCGGGAACGTGAACAAGAGAGAGCGGAACGGGAGCGGGAGCGAGTTTTTTGAATTGGAAAGGTTAAAACTGATGAATGTGGTTCAGACTAATAGCCTAGCTTCCACGGTTTCGAAAGTTGAACAATCTAGAGAAAAAAAGGTTAATTTGAAAGATCTAGTACCGCGTTTTGAACCGAGTAATATAGATATTTCATTATTCTTTATATTTGATTGAGATTTGATGATGATGATTTGCTTTTTGAGAAACAAGCTCAAAAAGAGAACGTTAATGAGATTGATTGGGTCTCGCAATTAATTCCTTTATTACCTTACGATGTAGCCCAGTTAATAATGAAAGAACCAGCGGATAAAGGGGATGATTATCAGCATGTTAAGAAATTACTCATGCAGAGATTCAAGCTTAGTTCTTGGGCACTAAAAACAAAATTTGAAGAACATTCTAGAAAAACCGGAATGTTATGGGTGGATTTAGTGTATGAATTGAGAGTGTATTTAGAGAATTGGTTGGATTCAGTAGAAGTTCAAGATTTTGAAAGTCTTAAGGAACTTATGCTCACTGAGCAAATTAAGCGGCGAGTCCCTCTAGAAATAAGAGAGCACTACTTAGACAATTGGGAAGAATTTAAAACAGCTTCCATTTTAGCAGAGAAATGCGACAAGTATGAGGCTTTGCGAAGAGATACGAGGAAGTTAGAACAGAGAGCGGGGTTAAAGAAACCATTTGAGAAAGATAGAGAGCGGTATATAAATTCTAACTGTAGTTATAATCAGAAAAGTAGTGGTCATCAAAGAATTAAATCAGAGGAGCATAGAAAAGTGGAGGCTCCTAAAAAAAGCAAGTTTTCAATGAAGCAGGTTTCGAGAAACAGCGGAAAATAAGGTGTTACCAATGTGGAAAGGACGGACATATCCGACCTAACTGTCCATCGCTGGAAAAGAATAAGGCTAATCTGGTGAATAATCTAGGAACGGAGAGTTTAGGAAAATGTTTTGAGCCGTATTTCAAGAAAGCAGTAATTAATGGGATAGAGAGAGAATATCTGAGAGATACTGGAGCTGGTATAGATCTGTGTAATAGTACTTGGATTAATACTAGTGACTTATTAGGGGAAACTGTATGGGTGAAACAGCCTTTGGACACAGAATGTAAATGTTTACCTTTGGCGAAAGTCACCATTGAAGGTGATTTTGGTGTGGTCACCACAAAGGCAGCGGTTACTCCGGTAGAGTTAGATAAAGAGTACTATTTGTTAGGGAATAAAACTGCACAGTTGATTGAGGAAATTAGGGAACGACCGGTTCTCTTGAATGCTGTGGAGACTCGTAGTCAGGCGCATGCGCGCAGGAGTTTAGAGAGAGCGAGTGCAAAAGACTTAGATTCCAGATCGGAAGAAAAGAAAGAGATAGAAAGTGAAAGGGCCGTCAATAATGAGCATTCGGAAGAAAGGAAGTTAACCAGTAATACGGAGGAGGCAATTAAAATTGCAGACATCAGTTTAGAAGAAAGGTCTATCCTTGCGGATGTTTCGCCAGCAGAATTCTTGGAAGCACAAAAAACTTGCGCTAGTTTAGCGACCCTGTGGAAGAAAGGGGAAAGTGAAAATGAAAAAGAGTTTATAATAGTCAAGGAAAGACTATTCAGAGTGGCAGGTTCTAAAAAAGGGGAAGATAAGCGTCAGCTGTGTGTGCCTCTCGTTTTTAGGAAAGGGATCTTGAAGTTATGCCACGAGGAAATCTCTGGTCATTTAGGGGTAACAAAAACCAAGGATAGAGTTTTGACACACTATTTCTGGCCTAATTGCTACCAGGAAATTGAAGAATTTGTGAGGACGTGCGATATTTGTCAGCGTGAAGGTCACAATAAGGATAAAAAGAAAGCCCTATGAAGATTGTGCCTGTTATATCAGAAGTGTTTAGCAGATTAAATATTGATGCAGTAGGACCTGGACCTCTGATCCCTAGTTCGCGTGAAAATAAATACTTAATTACGTCTATTTGTGTTGCTTCCAAATATCCAGATGCCATTCCTGTTCAGAGTTTAAACTCTAAATGTGTGATTCAAGCCTTGATACAAATCTTTTCTAGATCAGGTTACCATAAGGAAATTCAGTGTGATTTGGGTAGATCGTTTACCAGTGAACTTACATCTGAGTTTTTTAGCAAGTTCGGAATTAAGGTGTATCATTCTTCTGTGTGTCACCCTCAAAGCAATTCTGTTGAAAGGTTGCATTCCACCTTGAAAAGGGTATTGAAGGCTTTGTGCTTGGAAAGCGGGAAGGACTGGGAAGAATGTTTGCCATGTGCTTTGTTCGCCCTCAGAACTGTTAGCCATGAGAGCACAGGTTTTAGTCCCTGCGAGTTAGTACATGGAAAAAATTTGAGAATGCCTCAAACGATTGTGTATGAAAACTGGCTAGAGGAAGAAAGTTCAGACCCCACTGTGGTCGAGTATGTTCTAGACTTAATAGACAGATTAAAGAAGTGTCAGGAGCTGGCTGTAGAGAGGATGAAAGAGTGTCAGAGTAAAAGGAAACTCTGGTATGATCGCAACGCTGTTACGAGAAGGTTTAAGGTCGGAGATCTCGTGCTTGTTTTAGCCACGTCTAAACCACACAAAATGGCTCTGAACTGGATAGAGCCAGGTAAAGTAACTAGTGTGATTTCCGAAACCAATTATACGGTAGAGATTCCGGGTAAGCGTAGCAGTGACACCATTTATCACGTAAATTTGATGAAACCTTATTATCAGCGCCCCGAGTTTGTGAATCTTGTGATGGAGGAGGTCATGGAAGATATTGAGGGAGAAGTGGATATTCCTTATCCCTTGGCTGATCCAACTCAGGTAGATTTTTGGAAAATAGTTGGAGATAGTAAGCTAGAAGAAAGAGCTTCGGCAGAGGAAATAGGAAAATTCCAAGAAGTTATAAGGAAGTATGGAGCAAGTGTTTTCGTCCGACCCCGGCTGTACGTTTTTGGTTGAAATGGATATTAAATTGTTGGATGAGACTCCGGTTAGAGTCAGGCCTTACCGAATGTCGGCGAGACAAACCGACATCCTAAAAGAGGAAATTAGGCGGTTGCTTGAGTTAGGAGTCATAGAAGTCGGGAAATCTGATTATGCTTCGCCTATGATCTTAGTAGAGGTCCCAGGTAAAGATCCTCGTCCTTGTATAGACTACAGAAAATTAAATTCAAAAACTATGACCGAATTTTTCCCTCTTCCCAATATTGAAGAAGTGGTAGAAAAAGTCAGCGCAGCTCCATTTATCACAATCATGGATCTAACCAAAGGATACTTCCAGATACCACTCGCAGAGCGTGCACGGAGGTATGCCGCATTTGTGACCCCTTTTGGATCTTTCATCCCGAAGAAAATGATGTTTGGGCTTTTAAATGCGCCTTTCTATTTTTGTAAATTGATCGCTCAAGTTTTAGGAGGGCTGGACAATTTTGTTCTACCGTATATTGACGACATCGCAGTCTTTTCGCCGACTTGGGACAGGCATATGAAGGATTTGGATGTGGTTTTAGGTCGCCTTCAGGAGGCTAAATTGACTGTTAAGCCCTCGAAATGCAAATTCGCACAAGACCATGTGAAATTTCTGGGTCATGAAGTAGGGTCTGGGAAAAGGTCGCCTAGTGAGGCCAAGATTCAAGCAATCAGAGATTTTCCGATCCCCACTACTAAAACACAGATACGTAGCTACCTTGGTACTGTGGGCTACTATGCAAGGTACATAAAAGACTACGCCCGTATTGCGGCACCTTTGACAGACGCTTTGAAGGGAAAAACAAAAAAGAAAAAGTGATTTGGACAAAAGAGTGCGACGAGGCTTTCAATAAACTGAAGACCAAACTAGTAAAAAGTCCGGTTTTATTTGCACCAGATTATTCTAAAGAATTTATTGTGCAGACAGATGCCAGCTTATATGGTGCGGGTATTGTGTTGTCTCAAATTCAGGATGGGGAGGAACACCCTATACTGTATCTTAGCAAAGAGTTTACTAAAGCGGAGCGAAATTATAGCACCATTGAAAGAGAACTGGCAGCCATTATTTATGGACTGAAGAAACTAAGTCATTACTTAGGATTACGGACAAAAATACATCACGGACAAAAATTCAAGATCCAGACGGATCATAATCCGTTTACTTTTTTAAACAAAATGATGGGATCAAATTCTCGTTTGACTCGCTGGGCATTGCGTCTCCAACAGTACAACTTGGAAATTGTTCATAGGCCAGGCAAATTACACGGTAATGCAGATGGCTTGAGTCGTGCCCTAGTCTAGTGACTGAATATCACTAGTGGATACAAAGTAAAGTAAAAAGTAATGAAAATGGGTGAAAATGATTTTTGTAGAGTTTTGGAATTATATTTGTGTAGATTCAAAATTGTTTGCATTGTGTGTTTCATTTAAAAAAAAAAAAAATGTTAGAATTAAATGTTTTATCTTAAGTATTAGCATTGTGTAAAATTTGAGGAATATGCTTTGTATAAGGCACACATTAGGAGTAGTTTAAATTATTTTTGTTGTATTTGTGCGGTTATGTTATCTAGAAATAAGTGCAGGGTAATGTAACTGGCTTCTCTATTATCACTTAAATGGTTACCACTTGTGTTTTGAAAGCAGTGAAATGTATTTAGAATTTTTCCTTCCATAGTCAAGAAAAATTTCCTTTATGAGGGGAGGAGTTGTGATAAGGTCGCAAAAATCTAGACGAAGATTTCAAATTGCAAATTCTCGTGCAATATACGTGATGAAATCACGGGACTAATATATTATTTAATTGTTATTAAAATAATATTAGTTTAAAAATAGTTTTTATTAAAATAATATTAAATTGCTGGCAATGTTAAAAACGCAGGCTCGAGAGCCACGTATGGCTCTCGCACGATTGATGTATAGAATTTGATTTTTGAAAAATCTAAGTTTTTCTCTTGTCGATTTGTATGTCACTGTTTTTTTTTTTTTTTTTTTTTTTTTTTTGGCGTTCAATAAAATTTTTATGCGAAGTACCTTTCAACCTGGTGTCACAACCCGGGGTTTGCATAGCGGTTTCGGCCACTACACCACAGCAGCATTGCATTACATTATTCATTGCCCTGCGGATAAATAATATATTTACATACGGACTATGGACTTTCAAGCAAAATCTCCTTTGATTGTGCTTTACACTAATCTAAATTTATCTAAATTATAGTTGCAATTGTTGAAAATTTTATGTTAGAAAAATCAATAGTTGAATATTCCCATTTCTTGTTACAGGGCATATCATCTAAATGGTCGGAGAAATGTTGCTTTTCTAGATAAGATCTAAAATTTACCTATACATGTATCTAAGATTAATTGCATCTAATTCGCACACATAGTTTTCAGGCAAAATATAAGAATTATATTTAAAAAGGAAACATAGAGAGCAACATAAGTGCAGCATATTTTCTAATGTAATGTTTATTCATTTATTTCACTAGATAGCGCAGACGCAAAACAAGGAAACTTTAACCAGAGAAAGCGACGTTCTTACGATTTTGCTAATAGTGTTTCAAGCATATTTCTCTCAAAAGCACTAGTCGTGGATTTCTAGGACAAAGTAGCGGAAACTGATTATTAAAACCTTGCGCAGGAATAAAACGAACTCCTTTCTACTTTCTTCCTATGAAAGCCGAGAGTTCTTCCTCCGAAATGCATTGATATCTTCATTAAATATGCAAAGCGTAAACAAAAGAGAAGCGTATAACGACCTGCGACTTTATTCATAACTTTTGGGAGAAGCACTTATGAATGAAACAATGTTCATTTACGACAACGATTGGACAAAGTATATACGCACAAGCTAACTTTTGCAAATGCATGAGAAACTGGTTTTAATAAATATGCAGCGTTTCATAATCAATCGTGGCAGCACCCAATGAGAAATACATGAGAGGAACAACAGCAATAATGAGAAGAGATGTCGGTGAACATATATTAAAAGCGAAATTAATAAAAATTTAATGCGGACTCCTGATTGTGACATGAATATATGATGAACAATTTTGGAGAGGGATTTATTTTTAAGCCTTTGTTCTTTCGCATTTTCCAGTACTTTATTACAAAATGAATCAAATGCTAATTAACATGAGATAAGAAATTTCTTCTTGCCAAAAGTATTTTTAAATTTTTAAATTTCTATAATTTCATTTATTATGGATATTATACCTGATTATCATAAACATCATGCAAGAATCTAGAGAACATCAAAGGATTCGTACAAGATCATGAAGCATTGTTAAGAATTAATGCTTCTGTTGTGCATAATATATCACACATTTTCGTAAGCCGATAGGCTCAAAATCTTTATTAAAATGTTTTCAGCCAAATCACGTAGCATTCCAAATTAACAAAAGGCTTTAATTAATTAAAGAAATAATGGATATATTTATAAAAATTACTGCCTTGGTAAATATATATATATATATATAATTAAAGAAAAGAGAACAATCTAAAAAAGACCTTTATGGTAAAAAATTTTGCGCATTCAGCTGCAAAATTTAGAAAACAAGTTAAAAGAAAATTCCTAGTTCGTACGCCAAAATGTTTCTTAGATACTGTGGTTCCGTTCACAATACGAACATAAGTAAAATAAAGTGCAATGAAAGGTGTAAATGTCAAAGATTAAATAAACAATACAAACACTTGAATATTTACAAATAAAATTCAATACTAATTGTAAGTAATATGCTGATTAAAATAAGGCATATTTTTAAACATAAGAATTAAAGTGTGACAAAAGACTTAAGAAAAAATACAAAAACAAAGAAGCGGTAAATGGTAGATTAGTCCAATTCGAATCTCATTAAGGACTCTTCAGGGGAAATTTTTTAATGATTTTCGAATCCAGCTAACTCCATATCGCGTTTCACAGAAACAGACAATTGAAACTGTATACGAACTTTGATCAGCATATTACTTACAATTAGTATTGAATTTGTAAATATTCAAGTGTTTATATTGGTTATTTAATCTTTATTTACACCTTCCATTGCACTTTATTTTACTTATGTTAATATTGCCAACGGAACCACAGTATCTAAGCAACTTTTTGGCGTACGAACTAGGAATTTTCTTTTAACTTATATATATATTATGTGTGTGTGTAAGATAAAATTGGAACTTAATAATCCTTAAAATCTCCATTTTAAATTGGTTATTTCCTTTTTTTAATCCAAAAATTAATAGATAGATTAATAGATTAATTAATAGATTAATATATATAGCATCTTAAGAGCTCTCACGTGATTCTTTTGCAAAGCTAATGACGCATAGTTACATAGCAACAACACTGAAAGTAAAAGAATGTTACCGTATAATATACAAACCAAAAATCCTTTCAGATCAATAGTAGTAAGATGATATTATGCTCATCTCTTAAGAAATTGACTAATCTCAACAATTCTTCATAACCATAACTCACATCACTAACATTAGATAATAATCTAGCTTAACTGACGCCTACCTTCGTCCATCTTACAAGTTCTCCGTAATCTTTTTTCTCTTAACAACAATAAATCTGAAAGTATCCGGAATCTATGCTTAAAATTGCTCAAAACAGAGTGCAATTAATCTCATTACTTACAGTGCTTCATTGAGTCATCATTCTGCAAATTATATCTACATAAAAATGCTGTGAAAATACGTAACTCTAGAGAAAAAGACGCTAGCACAAAGCAACTTATTATCATCATAGTCTTCTTTTACATCACCTAAAGTTTTATTGCAAATATAACAATATAATAGAAACATAAGTATTTCATTATTCACAGAAATGAAATAGACTGGGTTGATCCCTGACACTAACATACCATACATTTCGTGCCATAAAACTGGCAATTATCTAATATCACAGAACTCATTTCTAACGTGAAAGTTATCATCGATTTTGACTATGTAACATTTACATATTATTTACCCAGATATTTTGATCATATCTCTCCAAA